TTTTTTTTCTTTTTTACTTCCACCGCTCCAAGCTTTCTCCTGTGATGGACTACAACCTCAATACAAACTAGTAGTCCCATCATTGGAGCCATTTTTAAAAATTTATTTTATTGTTTATCCGATTAATCGAACTTAATAATCGGCTAACTAATCGATTTTGAAAATAATCGTTAGCTGCAGCTCTAATTCCTACCCTTTTTCTTTGCCGCCTCAACGTTAATGGTCAGCCGGGAGGTGGCAGTGTGGCTGTAAAAAGGGACTTATCTTGTATAAAGCTTCATAGAAGTTGCTTTGCTTTTTGTTATGAAATGTACACTGGGCTCACCTGCACAGTGTCATCTAGGCAAAGCATATTGCACCCAACTCTCCTCCTTTTGTTAGTGATTTATTGATCATCTGTGCTTATGTTTCTCATGACTACCAATCAGATTTAAACCTGATATCACACATACACCCCATATAAGGATCTCTAAAAACTGGGTGCCCTTTCTGGTTGTGGTAGAATTTATGGAGTAGCGGCATTTTTCTGGATAGTACTAGCAGTCCAATGATTATTTTTCATGGTTGCCTATTCTTTGGTGATCGGGTCTGGTTCTCTCGGGGCTTCCTAGCAATGTACTATGTAGTGACTGCATGAGTTAGTGAATTTGAATACTGACATGGTTAGGGACCTTAAGTGGAGTGCTATTGGTTTAATATGCCTGTGGCTGGACTGATACTCATGCATACTTTTTTTTTTTTGCTTTTTAGACTTTCAAGAAAGAAAAGGCAAGAATTATCTCAGAAGACGAGAAGAACTTCAAAGCCTTCGCCAGTTTGCGTATGGCACGCGCCAACGCACGCCTCTTTGGCATCCGCGCCAAGAGAGCCAAGGAAGCTGCAGAACAGGAAGTGGACAAGAAAAAGTAAAACTATCCCTGGAACTGTTAATAAACAAAAGTTGTGTAATTTTGTTCCTTGAGTGTTTTTTGACAAGGGAATTCACGAGTTGCTGGTGTACACGTTTGGTGTGAGTGGAGCTCTGATCTTTGCGGTTACTGCATGCACAGTGCTTTCTGTCCTGAGAAAAGTGGATCTTTAAAACATTGTTTCCATACATTTTTAAAATGGAGGTTTCCGCATTGGTTTTGCAGAAGACCCAATCTGTTTTCCAGACATAATATTTTAGAAATGTTTGTATGCAAGCCTTTGGGTAGTGTCCGAAGGGAATTAAAGACCAGATGAAAGGAATGAAATTTCTGTATCCAAAATATGTACAAAGCCGTAAAACAGCAGTAAAGTGGATTTAAAAAAAAAGCCCTCTGGAGGTGTTTGCCAGCGCTGTCTCTGTAATAGGGCCGCCTGAGGTGGTTGCCTCATGTGGCATCTCATTGGGTCACTGGCTACCAGGAGCAGAGCGGGAAAGAGACTTCCACCGCTTCAGGCCTGGGGTGGAGATCTAAATGTGAGAGATGAAAGGATTCCACCCATTAGGTCTCACATGGTGCATAGCTATTGGATCTTTTTAAACCAGAGAGTCAGGTGGGGAGGTCTGCTTCCAACAAAGTAACACACACCCTTGCCACATTTATCAAATGTATTAAGAGTGATCGCCTATATCTGTGTCTCGACAAACAGTTTAAGTGAAGGAGGTATGCCTTGGGGCGATCACCTAGGTCAATACCCTACAGTTCCTTGGACCAAAGGCAAACCCCTGTCAAAAACGATTGGAGTACCTGGCAGTCCCAGAAAACATGCAAAATCGTGCCCGGGGCTTGATTACAAATCCAGCACATAGGCAAGGCCTGCGGAAGAGCCCTTTGTATAGTCACTGCGACCCTATGCTACCTTGAAAGTATTGTAAAGTCTGAATCCTGAAGGCCAAGCCTTGTGGGTGAAATAGAAAATCTGGTCCCTTTGCATCTCAAAAACAGACCCAGGTCTCGTTCCCATGGGCTGAGAACTAGGGGTCTGGGCAGAAGATGACTGGTTAAGCAGCGCACAAGAGTGCGTTTAAGGTTCTGGGTCCAAGCACAGTTCCTCAAAGCGCAGGTTTAGGTAAGGTAAGCAAGAAGTGTCGGCGTTGAAGAGCCCCTCAAAAGAAGGGGAAGGTGCACTAAATGGAGATCTGAACCAAAGCCCACTCATCAGAGCAGATAGTGGCAGGGCCTGAACTTATTCGCCTGGACAAGTGGTCTAACGGAGGGGTCTAAGCAGCCTAGGGTAAACTGAGGATGGCCAATGATTGGTGAGGACTTGAACAATTCTAGAGCTCCACCAAAAAGATTCCCCACCTAAGTACCAGCCAAGTCGTTCCAATTGTAGGATGAGACAGAGTTCAAGAGCCAAGGGATACCTGATAAGGGCCGGTCAAGTTGGATCTGTTGCACTTGAACCCAAAGCTTGAAGGACGCATGTTTGCACCAGTCCAAGGTCCTAAACAGGTGGGAAGCGCTATAATAATCAGGCCTGGGAAACCAATCCCTCTGTGGAGTTTGTGTGCGCAGCCAGTTTCATTAACTTTATGTCCACGGTTAGCCCATAAATTCCAGAGTTTGACACGAACCATCTGAAGAAAGCCCCCTGGGATTCGAGTGGGGAGAGTCTGCAAGAGGCGCGGTAGGACATTCATTTTAAGGATATTGTTCCTCCCAAAGCAGGAGAAAATGTTTCTGTCCCAGGACTTAAGATCCTTCCTGATCTCCGCAAGCAAAGATTGATATTTCAAGGAAGACTATCTGAAGATGCAGGAATGTTTACTCTGAGATATGTAATTGCCACGAGGTCCATTTCAAACGAAAATTAGACTGAAGCGTCCCACTGGAACATTAATATTTAGAGCCTTTGATTTGCACCAATTAATTGTAAAATTGGAAAGCTTGCCACAGTGGTTCAAAGCCTTCAAAAGGGAAGATAATGAAGCCAACCGGCTGTGTAACAAAGGAAAACAGGTCATCTGCAAAGCCAGCGACCTTATGAGCAACTGGGCCAAGATAAATCCCTTTTGATATCCAGGTTAGAGCGAATATGACAGTTTAAGGTCAAAGGGTTAAAACTAAAATTAACGGTGAAAGAGGGCATCCCGGTCTCGTACCATTACTCAAACTAAAGTAATTAGGGTCTCGTTAGCACTAATGGCTAGAGTAGCATTGGGGTAGATGGCAGCAAGCCAGGAGAGCATGTTAGGGCTAAATCCAATGTACTGTAACCTGGCACGGAGCAACCACCTGTCCACTCGGTCAAAGGCCTTTTCGGCATCAGTAGAGATCAAAATTGTGGAGACTGCTTATGAGAGATGTGGATTATATTGAGCGTTCTTGTGATACTATCTCTTGCCTCGTGTCCCGGAATAAAGCCCACTTGATCCAAGTGAATGAGCTTACACTATGTAGGTGGAGCCAAAGGCAGTTAGCGAGGATTTTGATGAAAATCTTAAGATCCATGTATTAAGTAGAGAGATCAGGCGACAGGAAGAAGCACAGAGGGATCCTTGCCCTCTTTGTGGGTCGCTGAGATATGGGCTCGCTGGGCATCTACCAGGAGAGGCTGCCCCTCCAATTTCTACGCCTTTAGGCTATGCCAGGGGTCAGCAACTGGAGCCGCATGTGGCTCTTTCATCCCTCTGCTGCGGCTCCCTGTCCCTGAAAAAGCGTTGGAATGCTTGACCTTTTGGCTGTCACACATTCCACCGCCAAAAAACTGCGTGGGATTACATTAAAATGTGTGACGACGTCACCGGTCACACATTTTAACGTAGTCACAAACTTTGATAGAACACCGCCATCGGGGGTACGGCCGCTCTGGGGGGCCTCTTAAATGAGTATCAGCTGTACCAGGGGCTGCATGGCAGAGGTGACTGGGGAGGGGGTCGGAGGCCAGGCCCCAGCAGGTAAGAGGGGATATGGGGAAAGGGACCCCGGCAACCAGCCCATCTGAGGCCCTGCAGAGCCCACCATAGAGAGTCTCAGGTGTGCTCTGCGGGGTCTCAGGCAAGTCCATAGTCCAGTGCGTTACTAAGCTCACATATACCTATATACATGCTATACATAGCATAAAGGTACAAAATTATATATGCAGTGTTATCTTCATTTTAGATGTCAAAATGGTTTTGTGGCTCCCGGAGTTTTCTTTTCTGTGGGAAACTGGTCCGAATGGCTCTTTGAGTGTTTAAGGTTGCTGACCCCTGGTAGTGGTCTCTCCATCCAGTGGTGATCCAGGATACATGTCTGCGATCCTGTGATGGGCGTCACCAGATGTGTATTTTGTTAGCCTCTTGGTTCAACAATCTGCGCAGGTTTCTCTCAAGGACTTGGAACCCAACAGTGAATACAGTAGATGCACTGGTGGGGCCGTGGGATCAGTATTCACTGGTCTATGCCGTTCCTCTGTTGAAGCTTTTGCCTTGGCTACTGTGAAAGATTGAGGGCATTCCAGTCACTATAGCCTCCGACGGATGAATAGAGTAGTGGGGAGCGCTGCAAAAATAAATATCAGTAAGTGGTGGTGTGGGGCTTTCAAGAGAACATGTCACTTTTGCCTTGAATGCACTTTTTCTCATTAAATAAGCACTTTGGGGGCAATGTGTGTGCTATTTCAATCACATTTATCTGTAGTGCTTTATAGCGAGAACTCTATACTCCTGCTAGTAAAAACATTTGGAGAAGGCCAGTTACTCTATCAGTATGTTTCTGAAATTGTGGGAGGAAACACTCCCAGACACAGTAGACACTTAACTCCATGCGGGTATATTGCTTCCGGCTGAGTACAGAATTGCTGTCCCCTTGAACAGGAGATCTGCTTGGGCACCTTATGGTGCCTTCATAATCTACTACTTTTATAATATTTATTGCTCAAAGAAAATTATTACGGGTAACGGGGCTGACATTCCTGTGTTCTCCTTTAGTGTTGTTTTTCTGGATGTCATGCTGATCCTCCTCCAATATTTAGAATCCCTTATCTGGAGTTTGTCTCTAGCGTCCATTGAACGCTCTTGCCGCCTAGCATTCTTTGCCAGCACGCAGGCAGCTTCTGCTGCTTAGTTGCTAAGACGTGGATAGTGCAATGGTGGGTAATCATGTTGATTTGGCGCTGAGTAGGTCAATAGAGTACATTTGCGATGTACGCATGAAAATGTTAGCACAAACGTTTACATGCGTACATCATAAAATACAATAGATACTCGGGACTGTGGCCACAGAGTTTTCTATTTTCATTTTATGGATCTGAACACATCACAAGTTTACTGATCATCAAGCAGGTGTGTGCAAGTGCCAATAGAAAACATTACACCAATCAGTTCAGATCCTTAAAGAAAAATGCTGGACGGATAAAAATGCAACTTTTTTTTTTATATAGCCCATGTGCTTGAGCCCTGAGAACTCTTGGACTGGGATTCTCAAGCAATCGCAGTTCCTACCAGCAGATGGCAGCATTTCTCTTTTTATCACAGACTGGGTGGCTTTGTTCAGCCCCTAAAGCTTGGGATGCCGGTGACTGACAGTGCATTTAATTAGGCTGTGTGACAAATTGCTCAGGCTCTGTATGCACATCCTGAATCAGAAACAGCTGTTTGTGTTTTAATTAACCCACTTCGTGCTTCTTTGGGGACTCTTCCCTTCCGTAACTCTGATACAACTCGTTAAAGGAACCAGCTCATGATTCTGCTAATTAGTGATATATAGATATATAGATATATATATCTATATATATATTTTTTATCCATCTAGCAACAGTGACACACTTCACTCTTCTATTTTGTCTTCATTCCAAAAGCTTTGGCGTCTAAGTTTTTTTCTTTTTAGTTCTGTACATAATCATATTGCTGCTCTTCTTCTTTTTTTCAGAGTCTAAAGTTAAAATTGTTTCATTTCTACATTCAGCAATCAGATTTCATTTGAAGATTCCATTTATCACTTTCAATCGGAAAGTCACAATTTGCTTGGTAGCTGTGGGCAATGCAGACTTT